GCTCGATCCCAGGACCCTGGGATCATGACCTGAGCCGAAGGCAGACGCTTAACCATCTGAGCCACCCAGGCGCCCCAGTAGTTCTTTATTTCTGTTCACTTCTTGGATTCCCTGTTTTCCATACATCTTGCCATTGCCTTAGTCCTTACGCTTCTTCTCCTTCATTCTGCAGCCAGAATTCCCCTCTCAATGTGCCTGTTGCCAATGCCAAGTTTTACTGCTTCTCACACCTCCCTGTAATGCCACGTGTTACCTGGTGTTCGCATTCGTGGCAGAACATGATGATGGGAAGAGTAAAGCTGATGTGTAACAAAACTCTGAAAAAATCTATGTGCCGTTAATATTTTTGGCAGTGATTTGGCTTTTTATGTGTTTTCCTCAAACCCTGACATTGGTACTCATGTATTACAATTCTGGCTTGAATGATGGTGCCATTTGGTTCCATGGTAGTTTATTGGAAAGGTATTCAAAGTCACAGGTGGGTTTCTGGGTTTTAGTAATTAACCTCAGAAGCAGGTTGAAAAATGCATTACAGAATTAGTGAAATTAAAGAGCAATCAGAACTTTCTAGGGCAAGAGAAATTAGTACCTTTAGTAAAGGCTCAAGAGGGGACTCTGAAGGAGAAATACTGATTAACAGTGGCCAGTGCCTCAGTGTGTTATCAGAAGGGAACAGAATTCTTAAAGTTTCATTAATCTGTTAATTCAGGAATTTTGTCCTGAAACATTAAGTGACCTAGAAATGACTTTTTTTTAAGTTTATTTTTTTAGTAATCTCTACACCCAAAGTAGAGTTTGAACTCATGACCCCAAGGTCAAGAGTCACATGCTCTTCTGACTGAGCCAGCCAGGCGCCCCAGAAATGACTTCTTTCGTAGCACTTTTCATGATTGTAATTTCATATTTATTGGTACGATTTGATGTGTCAAACTACCCTAGTAAATCAAGCCCCACATTTGTTCTAAATGTTGTATTCCTTGGGCCCCGCACGGTCCTGGTTTGTAGGACCCTAGTGAATATTTGAATGAATGAATGAATGAATGAGAGAACACATAAATGAAAAGGACCAGGGCTGTTTATAATCTGTTAAGAAGTCCTCAGCCCGTGGTCCCTTTTCTCCAGTTCACCACCTCTCTCTTACCCCATCTCCCCAAATGAAGAAAAGATCCTTTGAGGGAAAATACTAAAGATATTTAACAATTCTGGGAATGGCTGCCTGATTTTAAAATTATCGAAAAACATGTGAAGCTGTGAGGTTAGCCTGGTAAGAGTGAAGGGAAGTTAGCATTGATTATCTGCTGTATGCTGAGCACTTGAGATACATAGTTCTTATCACTCTCAGAAGATCCCTGGGTTTTATATATTTGTTGGATTATTTTTTAGAGGTTGTGTTTGGCCTCCCAGCCACAGCATACTGGTATCTTATGACGTAGTTTTTTGTTTTTTTTTTTTAAGATTTTATTTATTTATTTGACAGAGAGACACACAGCGAGAGAGGGAACACAAGCAGGGGGAGTGGGAGAGGGAGAAGCAGGC